CACATGTTGTTTGCTGCGTAGACTACTGTTTTCCGGTCAGCTTTCTGGGCAATTTGTTTGCCGCACTTGCGACTGAAGTTTTAGGTTTTTCCGTTCGTACATACGGTGGTCTAGTGGGTAGCCTCGCAGCCTGCTAAGGACCAGGTCATGGGTTCGAGTCCCGGCAGAGAGAGCTTTTTTCTCACTGAATAAATAAATCCTGGTCTAGGATGAAAGCGACGCGCTGCATAGCTCGTTTGTTNCATAATCGACTTCGTAAGTCGCGAGGGAAGGGATTGCTGTACCCTTCTCGCGATAAAAATACCTCAGGCATGAACCGCAGGAGGGGGTCCAACCCCCCCCTCCTATGTGACCCCGGTTGGGTCGTCTAGCTAGTAGAAGTGGAGGATAGGGGCCAGAGGGGCAGACGACAGAGTCCAATGATGGGAGAAAAAATAAAAAAAAACATAGTCGCGGCTGCTTGGCGTTGGATTTACGTGGCGAAAAACATCCTGATGAAGTAAGTGTGAAAGCGCGTGCCTGTACACCTACTTGTGATGGCGCATTGTGGTACACCATGGAGTCCATGGAGTGTAAGCATATGTATGTCCATCACTAGTGAGTTTTTTTTTTTTGTCTTCACGTCAAATCCGCGCTCACAGCACTGGTGCCGTTTACTCCAACCCGTGGTCACACAAAAGAGTCCCGCTCTACCCTCCCCTCCTGCGGTACTTTGCCTTCGATTTTTCATGCGAGAAGAGTTCAGCACTCTCCTCCCTCTGTGTACACACAAACTAGCGCAATCTATTAGGCCAGGAGCGGCAAATCCGGGCTCACAGCACTGGTGCCGTTTACTCCAACCCGTGGTCACACACACAGAAGAGTCCCTCTCTACCCTCCCCTCCTGCGGTACTTTGCCTTCGATTTTTCATGCGAGAAGAGCTCAGCACTCTCCTCCCTCTGTGTGCACACAAACTAGCGCAATCCATTAGGCCAGGAGCGGAAGCGGGAGAAAAAATCACTTTACAAGAAAGCTCGCTTATAGGCTACTTATTATGTGTCATTTTCGCCAGATTATTTTTGATCAATAATGATCTAGGTGTCACATCCGGCTTCTTATGTGTCATTTTTGCGCCTTTTTTGATCGAAAAAAAAATGATCTGGGTTTCTGATCGCCCGAGTTGATCAGAAAACTTGGAAAAAATGATCTGGACAGATCATTTTTTTTGTTCATCATTTTTGCTATTTTTGAATTTGTGCCGCATATATGATATGCCAACGGGCGACACCAAGACGCACATCCCACAGACTCACATCCCCACAACAGCGCTATGCCAGCTCGGCTGCCATCACTGCTACTCCTACTGCTACTTGTGGTGGGTAGTCAGCGTGTTGCTTCATCGTCGTCTCCCGCCAGCAGCGTTCATCCCATCATGTCCGCAGCAGCAGAGGGCAGAGTCAAAGACCTCCATCCAGAAGTCGCGCTTGCGGCAGCGCTGGCTGCTCTGGATGACATCCAACAGGATGACATGCTGTCAGATGCCGAGGCCGAACCTGACGAGGAACCCCGGCGCGAGAAGCGCGGTCGAAAGAAGAGAAGGAAGAACGACACCAGCACGTGTGCTTGGGCGCAGGTGCTGGAGGATGAAGACCTAAAGGATCCTACAAGCATAGCGGCGAAGAAGTTTCGAGAGGACTTTCGCGTCCCCTACCCCTTTTTTCTGCGGCTTGTGGAGTTGGTGAAGAAGAAGGATTGGTTCGCCACCGCGCAGCGCGACGCGTATGGGCGGCGATGCCACCCAGTGGAGCACAAAGTGAGCTTGACGAGGTTGATCACTCGTGGGTTGTGGCTTGTGTACAGCAGTAGTTTTACTGCACTAGCAGACTCGGGGTGCGTTGAATTGAAGGAGGCGATATTCCAAAATGGATGATACCAAAAAAGTAGCTGATCCTGCTGTAGCAGTATTTGTGTGTGTGAGAGAGAGAGAGAGAGCGAGAGAGAGAGGGAGCTGCTCTCTCTCTTATACTGCTGTTGATGAACCCGCACGTGCTCTCTCTCTCTCTACTGCTGTTGATGAACCTGTGCAGCAGCAACGACTCTTCTGTTCACTATACAGCAGTACCCGGTACTCCATACAGCAGTATTGGCTACATCTGTCTGGATCGCATTCTAGTGCTGTACAGCAGTACTGGAATATATTTTTCGTTTGTGTCACATGATGTGATATGATACAGCAGTCGCCTCTGTCGGCTATATCATACCTTGTACTCCGTAGTACATGCTATATCTGTCTAGATCGGATGTAGAGCTGTAGGCTACAGCAGTAGCTTTTGTATCACATGATATGATACAGCAGTCGCCTTTGTCGGCTACGTCATACCTGGTACTCCGTACAGCAACACAGGGGACATACTCGAATTTTGGATCCCTTTTTTGTTTGTATCATATGATATGATACAGCACCCGCCTCTGTCGGCTATATCATACCTGGTACCTGGAACTCCGTGCAGCAGTACATCTACATCTGTCTGGATCGCATTCTAGTGCTGTACAGCAGTAGCTCTTTCAGCCGCAGAAATATAAGTAGTATATACCGCAACAGGACAGTGTCTGGATCACACTAATGGAATATTTGTATCACAGCGGTGGCCCTGTTGGTTGTGTCATGCAACAGCAGGTGTTCTGTCTGGAACGCCTACTCCTTTGCCTGTTTTGTGCTACGCACGCGCGCCAGGGTAACAACGTTGCTAATTCGTCTGCACCCTGCCCCCCCCCCCCCCAATGAACACATGTTGCGAATGGTGCTGCCGTAGGTGCTGGCGTGTCTGACTATACTGGGCAGGGGGAATGTATTCGGAAGCATCTACAACCTTTCGTGGATGAGCACCCCGACAGTGCAGAAGGTGTTCCACCAGTTCTGCGAGCACTTCGCAACCGAGATGTACGACGAGCACATCTTCCTTCCCAGCGAGGAGAACGGCGAGCTGGATCGCGTCATGGGACAGTACGAGAAGCTGGGGTTCCCGGGCGCAATGGGTTCAACGGACGTCACCCATATCGGGTGGAGTAGGTGCCCGTACAACCAAGGACGTTCTTACACCGGTAAGGAAGGCAAGCCTACGGTCGGATACCAGGTGACGGTCAACCACGCTGGGCGTGTGCTGGCCGTGACAGAGGGGTTCACGGGGTCCACCAACGACAAGACCATCATCTGCTGTGATGAAGCGGTAGACAGAATACGGACCGACAAGCAGTACGCCGAAAAACCATTCACAGTCCACAAAAAGGATGGTACCACGGAAACCCTGAAGGGGTGCTACCTCATCGTCGACAATGGTTACCACAAGGTGAAAAAATGTAAAGTACCACACGAAATGTCGGGGTTTTTTTTCACGAGCACGCCTTGTTTGTCGGCCAACCTACACTATCATCCCGGTTGGTCGAGCTCCATGCCGTGGGTTTGACGTGCGACAATGAACGCGGTATGACACACAGAAGGTTAATATTCCCCCTTCTCTCCTTTGGTTTGTTTCGGTCCTTTCATGCAGTGGCGGATGCTCATTGAACCCTCGAAGTACCCGTTGAGCGAGGCTGACTTGCTGTTCTCGAAGAGGCTGGAGAGCGTGCGCAAGGATGTGGAGTGTTTTTTCGGCATCCTGAAGATGCGCTTCAGAATCCTGAAGCTCGCCATGACCTACCAGAAGCAGGAGCGCCTCGACTACGTCTTCTTCACATGCTGTATCCTGCACAACATGCTCCATACGCATGACGGCATGGGCGGCCTGGAGGAGGACGTGAACTGGGTCGGCAGTGCCGAGCTCCAGAACACGTCGGGGCACAACCTGGACTCGAGCTCGGTCGGGACCAAGGACCTCAACGACAAGCCCCAGGTCGAGGCCGCCCATGCGGTGCTCAAGCGGAAGCTGACCACGAACTTCCTGTACCGCAAGAAGCACAAGAAGGACATTGTTTGGCTTTCCAGGAAGAGGCCTGAGATTTAACCGTAGAAATCTGTTGTTCGTTTCCCTCTCTTGGGATGCCGCTTTTCTATTTTTTATTAATTTCGTAAGGGTTACGCGCTGTCGCGTGTGTTGGTGTGCGACGTTTTGTGCCATGTAGTAGGGGAGGAAAGCGTCTACTGTACCAGTTCGTGTTTGGCAATGGCAGCGTCGAATACGAAGGAGACGCGGGTGAAATCTTTTTTTATGATCGTACCGTTCGTTAATTTTTTTTTGTTGTCCCATGGACGCAGAAAGACCAAAAATATAACAAAGACGAGCACTATAAGAGCTATCAGCTCTCAGGTTCGGTCAGGTAGTTTCTTCTTCACGTGTTGTGTGGTGCGGAGTCGCACCGAGTTGCTCTCTCTCGACGACGAGAGGGAGAAACGGCGAAACGAGTGAGTGAGAGTCATCAACGCAGTTGCCCTTTGGGAGACAGCTGTCCTGCGAGGAAGAACGTTCCGTGAACGTTCCGAGAACCCAAGGAACAGGATTGGCTCTGATCTGGAAGAATACCCCGTCGGATCTCCGGCGGGCCATTTGATGCATTCACAATCTACGGTCATTCCATGTGGCATTTACAGCACACACACAAACAAAAAAGAAGAACGAGCGGAGCATTAGAAACGACAGGTANAGGTGTTTACTCCGGTACCAACAGCACCGCATGCTCCACAAGCAATGTGACATTCAACAAAGAAAAACACACAAGCACGGAAAAAAAATGTGGTAGACCGGCATTCACTTTTTGGTGCAAGCGCCGTACAAAAAATAAATAAACAAGCAGAGCAGTTGAAACGACAGGTGTTTACTCTGGTACCAACAGCACCGCATGCTCCACAAGCAATGTGAAATTCAACAAAGACAAAA